AAAACAAACGCTTCCTCTGAAATCTCTGACCCGATAGTTTAGTCACAAAATCTGCATGTGTACGTTGTTGCTTACCGCGTCCCATACATCTCTCTCTCTTTTTAATGCTAATATATACAAAACACCGTCCATCCACAAAGAGAGAAAAAAGAGGCAGAAAAAGGCAGTTTTAAAAGACTGGCAGAAACTAAGCATCCTAGGCCACATCTCCTTACCCTTTTCCAAGTTTCCTGTTACTTTATTTATTCATTCCCCAATTTTCTACACTCCCTCATTAATTAAAACATTTTTTTATGTTTTCGGTTCCTTTCTTTCCTTCACTTATTATATATATGCTCCCCACTTCTTGTCCACCACCTTTGTGAACATATTCCTCAATCAAGAGACCTAGTTTTGGCTTTGGTTTTGGTTTTGGTTTTGGCTTTTGGGTCCAAGAACTGGTTGAGAAGAAAGCCTGAGAGATCTGAAGAGAAAGGTTTGTTTCAAGTTTTGATATTTTGGGTTGGTTGATTTAGATGGCCATTGAAGCTCAGATGCGTTCAGAGAATCTTGGGTTTCCATTGTGTGGCTCACAGGATTGGATGGTAGACAATGGTTGTGGTGGCGGTGGAGGTGGGTTCAGTGACTTCTGTTTCAATGTTCAACAGAAACACCAACTTCAACAACAACAACAACAGCAACAACAGCAGCAACAACTACAAAACCAGCAGCAGATAAATCAAAATCTCTGCTTTGATACCAGTTTTCTGGTTCCCACTTTGGAAAACAACAATACTTGTAGCAGCATTATGGCCTCCTGTTCTCAAACTATGGAAGCTCAGGCTGCCAAGCATAGACAAGAGATTGATCAGTACATCAGATTACAGGTTAGAAACCAGTTTTTTAAGTACAATTTGTGATTATATGACTTGGGTTTCATCCAATTTACTTGAAATTGCTTTTGCTTTCATGGTTTTGGATTTGTTCTCAATTGCCATGTTTTTTTTTTTGTTTTTGAAAAGCAGAACGAGAGATTGAGATTGGTACTTCAAGAACAGAGAAAACAGCAGCTTGCAATGCTGTTGAAGAAAATAGAGTCTACAACCCAAGTACTATTAAAGCAAAAGGATGATGAAATAACACAAGCGAACAGGAGAAGAATGGAGCTTGAAGATTTCTTGAGAAAATTGGAGGCTGAAAACCAAGCATGGCAGAGAGTGGCACAAGAAAACGAAGCCATGGTTATGTCCTTAAACAACACTCTAGAACAGTATAGAGAGAGAGTCTCGTGTTGTCTCATTAATGGGGCAGACGATGCAGAGTCTTGCTGTGATAACAGAGAAGAAGAAGAAGCAGAGAGTGATGGTGTTGATTATGAACAGATAAGGATGAAGATGAAGGTTTGCAAAAGCTGTAATTCCCGGAGTTCGTGTGTCCTGTTCCTTCCTTGCAGACACCTATGTTCATGCAAAGCTTGTGAGGCGGTTCTTGATTGTTGCCCTGTTTGCAGAACACCAAAGAAGGCCAGCATAGAGGCTTTGATTTTCTAGGCTGATTTTCCGGGAAAAAGTGAAGAGAGAAAAAAAAAAAAAAGGGAAAGAAAGTGACTGAGAATGCTTGGTTTTAGCAGGATGATGTTAATGATGATCATTGATGATGGAGTGAACAGAACCATTTTCGATGCAAATGGTTTTTTTAATTATTTTATTTACTTTCTGCCCTTTTAGGGTCTCTGAATTTAGATTTTAGTTTGTACTTTAGACGACCAACAACCCAATTGAACAGAAAAATACAGCACAGAGCATCTTTTTCCTTTCATGGAGGGTGCTGCTTTTTTCCTTTTTCAATATTTTTTGCTTCTCTTTTTCTGTCAATGGTGGATTGATTTGATTATTCATAGCAGATTTGTACACCAACTATTTTGCATTTGGCAGGTCATCAATTTGCCTTGACAGATTTCATTGAAAGAAATGTCAGATAAAAAAAACATTTTCATGCACAAAATAATTATTTTTTATTTAATTTCTTGCAAAGTCAATGAAAGTTTTTTAAAGCTAAAAATTAGCAGCTAAACTTTGTAAACCAGGGACTTTGGATCTTTTGCTTGTTTTGCATACTCACTTGATGGTGATATAAAATTCACATTGAAACTATCTAATAAGAAAAGAAAGAACATCCTTTTTATTTATTTATAGTGAGCAAACAAAAAGTCAAGTCGGCATCTTAAACATGTAGGGATGGGGTTTTTGGAATTTCTTTAGGTCCACATTATCATATAGCCGTCGTTCGAATATGCATCATAATCGCCAAGCATAATATGGTCCATCTTCTACCTGTTTTACCTTTTATACTTCTCCTAACAGCCTCTTGTTCAAGCTAAGAAATTTCTCTTCTAGTCCAAGATTTCCAATATTGTTAGGTACTTAAGTCGGTTGAGAGTACGGACGGACTCGAGATTTCAGAATATGATGGGCTAAATTTATCTAATGTACAAACCTACTAAAAAAAAAAAAATTCAACGGCATAAGTGAATCATTTATAACCAAAAAAATAAAAAAGACACCTAACTAAGAGTGAAACATTCACTTCAACTTAACAAAAAACTTCATTAGCTATGAGTGTTAAGAAGTTTTTTCTTTCTTTTTGGATAAGCCCAACGCGTGTTCAACCTAGGAATTGAATTGGGGTTTGAGCTTTGGCATCCATCCATAATACCAAAAGAAGAAAAAAAAATATAATTTTGACCTGAGTGCGTTGTTTGGTAGAAGAAAGAGAATAGGTTAGAAAAGGGTATAATTGAGTTTTGCTATTAAAAAAATATTTTGACTTGGTGATATGCTACATGTATTTTGCTTCTATGGTCCGTCCCCGGTTGAAAGGGATTTTACAAAACTTATTTTCAAGAGTTGTTTCGGTTTTTCGACTCAGGTTATCTGGGAAGTTTTACCCATATATGTTATATCATATAATAAAAAATTAGTAAGAGATGTATTGTAACATGACAGATTCTTTGTATTTTTATTAGAATCGAACACATTGTATCGATTCATGATGATAAAGTACATATGTTCACAAATACTTAATTTTTGATGTAAACACAAGATCGAAGCTAAAAAGATGAGATAATTCGAATTAATTTCCACTAAGATTTGGATATGCTCAAAAAACTTTCTATCATGCCATGTTAAATGTGCCATAAAATGGAAAGAAGAAAAATTGGTAGTTTCGAAAATGAATGAAATAAAATACTTGGAAGTAATTGAAGGTTTGCGTTTTGGGCAAAACAAAAAAGAAAAGTAAAAAGAAAAGGGATAAGCGTTGACGGGAGATTCTGGTGCTGCGGGTGGTCCTCCTAGTTATCCGCTGTTTACAGTAGTGGCCGTACAGCGTTTCTCTTTCTTCTTCTTTTTGCACTTTTTTATTTATTATTATTTAAATTTTATCTGATGTGGGGCTCTGATTCAACTTCTTGTGGGTGCATCTCATTTCCGTGATATTTCTCTCTTCTTTCCATTTGGGGCCCTTTTCACGATTTTGTGAGGACAATTTAATAATAGTACGCAGAGATTTCGATTCGTGGGTTTGCTGCCGTGTTTATTGTTTTAGGAGAAATTGAAATAGGAATTTTCTTTTTCTTTTGTGTACGGCAAGCATAATGATAATATCTCAATTTGATGTTACAAATTCATTTCATTTATAACACATATAGGTTTTATATATATAAATTTTTTAAGATTACATTCATAATTTAGTTAAGAAAGTCACTAACTACAAAGGGCTATGAACGGGGAGGTTTAACATCAAATTTAAGGTAATATCTTGTGCGCCTCCACTAACGATCACGCAGAATCGAAAAAACTATGCCATAAGCATTCCAACTAAGATTGCAAGTTCATAATAATCAAAAAAATATAAAGCTTAAAAAAACCAAACAATGACAATACAAATAAAACTCTTAACAATAATAATTATACGAAATAATTGAATTTTGTAACACTATGTCGATATGTCGATTTTGTTTTTTTTTAATGCAGAAAACATTTTTCGTTATTCATAAAGATAATAATTCATATAAATTGAACATGATAGGGCATGGTTCGCTCCTTAGAATTCACGTGGGACTCAAACAATACGCACTCATCTTGGACATAGAACTGATATCAATTTTTCGTAACAGCACTATAATTTTTATTTTGTTGGAAGAGGTTTCTAGTTTAAAGTTTATAGACGAGAAAGTTTTATATAAAAAAAAAAAAAAAAACTCAAGATATTTACTTTGTGAATTATTTAGGTATGCTTTAGAATCTAGATCATGTATCGAAATAAGATGTCTTTCCAATTAACCCAACGTACGAATGCATGCACTTGTAAATAATTAATCAAGAGCATGTTGCCTCTGACAGTAACGTGACAGATACCCATAAAATTAACAAGACTTTAGGCTGCTGGAAAAATATCAAGAAGTGATATGTAAATAGTTGAGAAAATGCAGCTAACTTACAAATTAAGTACATAGAGTTAGTACGTAATGTAATATTTTCTCCCCAATACATTATCTTTTAGATGTTAATAGGATTCATTATAGTCAACATGATGCACAAAGACAACGCTAGATTTTAACATAATATTTTATAACAAGAATAATATGATATCGATATTGTCAATTTACCTCATAATTAAAAAAAAATAAAAATACACAAGTGATAGTTTAAATTACAAAGGAGAAAAGTTTCTCACCATACACTACCAAGATATCACACGGGGTTCAAATTTGAGATCACTGATATACAAATTAAGACTTTTTTCATTTAATTAGATCCGTTGGCTACCTCGTAAACTTTTTTTTTGGTTCAACATATGGCTCAATTTACACCATGTTGTTTGCAAAAAGAGGCCCCAAGTGTCTTTGAATGCCGATCTGATTTTCTACCTTTACAAATTCCACCTTTTTTTCCTTTTAGCTGCTAAAAGTCATATTAGATTGAAGACAAAAAGAAAAAAACAGTGCAAATTCCACATTAGAGACATTGGCTGAACTAGGTAGAGGACTGCTATGGGCTCTAGCCTAGGTAACTTTTCTTTTTAAAATAAAAATATATTATATGTATTTTAATATTATTCATCCCATAAAAGCTTAGTATAGCCCACCCAAATGTAGCCTTGTAATTCATTGTTCACTCAATTTTGTAGGTCTATAATTATCTTATATTTAATTTGCTTGCTCAATTAAGAAACATAATCTCCTAATAAACACTCATGATTTTAACTCTCTATCTTTTACTATTTTATCTCAATGTATACTGTTATTTCTAGAAAAACTATAGAAACAGTAAGTACCCAAAAAAAATTGATCATTAGATTTTAAGCTAATAACTTTAGCTAGCCTACCTATTAAAAAATTTCTAATTCCGACCTTACACTTAGAAATGGTCATTGCTTGAGCACTTAAACTATGGACTAGGACCAGCCCAAACAACGTCTTCACTCTGTCGACATTGCACACAACTGGATATCAGTGCTTGGATGAGTAGCAGTCGAGACTATTTTGGATGCGGAATTTACATTTCCATAAATGATAACTGCTATGAACTGGTGCAACAAAATAGAACCATTTGTGTAGATAAAGGTTAGCCATTTAACATAAAGCAAATCAAGTAATGCGAATCGTTAAGCCAATCTGATTTCAATCATAAAAGAATTACAACTGCAGAAAGGTTGCCCCTCTATATTAAAACTGGAAAAAGCTTTAAAAAGAAAATATGATGGTACTCTCACTGAGAAATGGTGCTGCGCAGATGAACTTTTGCTCTTAAACAAATCGAATAATCATTCTAAGATCTTTATCTAACACTCATGGAGAAGCCTGTGAAATGTGAATCTTAATTCGGTCAAAAATACTAATACAGGCTATACCCGAAGAACTGGCTGATGATTATGGCAAACCCGAGAGCAATTGCAACCAGGGAAGATGCCCATGTTAGCTTCTCTGTTATTCTGGGAACTCTATCCTTTAGTGCCTGACTACATGAGCCTAGAAAGACTGTATAGCTTCCCATTGCAACCACGGTCCCAACTAAAAACATAACCAGAAATGCAGCACCAGCAATGCGAGATGGCAAGGCAAGCGCGGGTAAGACCATCATCAATGCATCTGGCTGCAGCCCATGGACAATTCCAGTGGCAAAAGTAGCAAAACCAATCTTCTTCTTCCCAACTGCAGGGGTTTCTAGAGATTCATATACACTAACATCACACTCGCCGTTCTCTAAGGCAACACAAGGACTTGGGACTTCTGAAGCTTCCTTAATGCCCATAGCACCAATAACTAGAAGAGTAATGCCCACAACTCTTGTGCCCCAGGTTCGGATGATTTCAATGTGAAGCCGATCCTTTAGCAGTAGAAATATTAAGCCAAAGATAACCTGGCCAGCATCATGACCGCATCCCCATAGGGCTCCAACTAAAGCACTTTCAATGCGGGTGCGTCCTATTGAGAGAGGAGCCAAAGCAGCTAGGTGGTCAGGCCCTGATAATGTGTGTAAACAACCAGCAAAGAAACCAGTCCATGCACTACTAAGTAATTCAGTCTGGATCAGTCTTCTCCCAATAGCAGCAGCCGGGCTACCTGCCTTTGTTGCAGTTTGAAAGGATGCAAAAGCTGCTGGTGCAAAAGCTGGTTGTATTAAGATCAAAACAAGAGCAGAAAGCACAACAAATGCCCCAGTGGTGATGGCCTGGACATGTTAGGAATATAAAAGTAAGTTATCTGGTCAAAATAAATGGATTAATGGTTGCATGTGAAAAGTGAAAGTAACTGTAGGTGGGAATTTGCAGCCCCACCTCAACG